GCGGAGTTCAATATGCTCTTTGATCGTAGGTGAACTATAAATCCCAGCAACTACAATTCCCGAATGTCAAGCTCTGTTTTCCCCAAACTCCACCAGTGTTCACATTTGGGCATATTGGGTATTCATGCCAAGTTTGGTCCAGATCCATCGTTGCTTGTGTCCAGAGTGCTATTTGGATGTAGGTGAACTACAACTCTAAAACTCAACGTCAGTGCTCACCAAACCCTTCCAGTATTTTCTGTTGTTCATGGGAGTTCTGTGTGCCAAGATTGGGTCCATTCCATTTGGGGAGTTCAGAATGCTCTTTGATTGTAGGTGAACTATAAATCCCAGCAACTACAACTCCCAAATGTCAAGGTCTATTTTCCCCAAACTCCACAGTTGTTTACATTTGGGCATATTGAGAATTCGTGCCAAGTTTGGTCCAGATCCATCATTGTTTGAGTCACAGTGCTCTGGATGTAGGTGAACTACAACTCCAAAACTCAAGGTCAATGCTCACCAAACCCTTCCAGTATTTTCTGTTGGTCATGGATGTTGTGTGCCAAGTTTGGCCCAATTTCATCGTTGGTGGAGTTCAGAATGCTCTTTGATTGTAGGTGAACTATAAATCCCAGCAACTACAACTCCCAAATGTCAAGTTCTGTTTCCCCAAACTCCACCAGTGTTCACATTTGGGCATATTGGGTATTCATGCCAAGTTTGGTCCAGATCCATCGTTGCTTGTGTCCAGAGTGCTATTTGGATGTAGGTGAACTACAACTCTAAAACTCAACGTCAGTGCTCACCAAACCCTTCCAGTATTTTCTGTTGTTCATGGGAGTTCTGTGTGCCAAGATTGGGTCCATTCCATTGTTGGGGGAGTTCAATATGCTCTTTGATCGTAGGTGAACTATAAATCCCAGCAACTACAATTCCCGAATGTCAAGCTCTGTTTTCCCCAAACTCTGCCAGTGTTCACATTTGGGCATACTGAGTATTCATGCCAAGTTTGCTCCAGATCCATCGTTGTTTGTGTCCAGAGTGCTCTTTGGATGTAGGTGAACTACAACTCTAAAACTCAATGTCAGTGCTTACCAAACCCTTCCAGTATTTTCTGTTGTTCATGGGAGTTCTGTGTGCCAAGATTGGGTC